TGAAGTGTCTTGCTAAAGCACACAACGACCATGAAACAGGTTAGAGGGCGGAATCGAACTGCCGACCTTCCGATCATCGACCGACTCGCTCTACCACCTGAGCCACAATGATCGGGAAAGTCTGATTTTGTAAAAGCTCTAAATCCAATCATACAGTAAAATCAATACTTCTTTAGAACATCTCAACATTTTAACTTCCATTGAAGGAGGGTTTAAGAAAAGAACCGTTGTGTTACACTGCATTTGTTTTAGCTGATTGTAAATGCTGCCATCTGGCAATTTAATGTGTGTACCGTAATTTCCGGACTATGAGCGCACCTGAATATAAGCCGCACCCGCTAACTTTAAAAAGAAAACAAGTTTTATACATATATCGGCTGCACTTGTCTATAAGCTGCAGGTGTCCACGTTGTAACATGAGACATTTGCACAGAAAGATTTTTTTAAACTTTTAATTAAATACGTACCGCTAAGATAGACAAATACGTAAATGCTTTTTTCCGAACAGTTCCTGTAACACGGCTGGTTAAAAAAAATAAAAACTACAGCAGCCTACCAGGAAAATTTATTGATCGCTATCTTAAAATCCATAAACTAGCCGCATCATTGTTTAAGCCGCAGTGTTCAGAGCGTGTGAAAAAGGTAGCCTTGCGTGTGAAAAAGGTAGCCTTGTAGTCCAGAATTTATGGTGTATTCTGTGGGAAAATAACTGTATTTTTAATGTTGGTGCTGTTGTTTCCAGCACTCATAAACTTGGACAAACATGAGTCACGCATTCATGGATTTTATTGCATTAAATCACATGTATCCAGTCTTGTTTGACAAGAAATATGATGTGTTCGATCTGTGCACAGTCATTAAATGGCGGCAACAACACACCGTCTACTGAAAAGCATCTGAGACCGTAACAACAAACAGATATGGCGCTTTGGATGGTAATGACAAAATCCTTTACTTCGATAGAGGCTGTATGATCCCCTACAAGAGGTCCTGAGGTTAATCTATGGGGTTGTGAGTTGATTATTGAAGTAGGGAGCAAGAAAAAGGAAAAAAAATCTGCGACTAAATTCTCCTCATTTTTCAGATTAGTCTCTAATCTGTGTTTTCTCGTTACTGTACTCTTTAATACTGTGGTTTTACCCATTCAGGCTGAGAGGAATTATTCCCATGAGAAGAGGAAAATCCCTCTGAACTGCTTAAAGCTTACACAGATCAGGGGTCAAAAGTAGACGTGACTTTTAAAGCAAGAAAGGCTGAGAGCCACTGTTCTGGACGAAGCTTTTCCATCGCACACGACTGCAGCGGTCACCTACTTAATCTTTTCTTACAAGCACATACATACAAGCCCAACATCTACCATCGCACTTTAATCCTCCACATAGACGTCCCACATACACTTTGCATCTGTTCAAAATCTACAAGCTGCTATTCGAGTTTAGCTTCACGGCAGCTGTACAAAACCGAGCTCGAGGCACAACAGGGCATTCACAGAATGGCAGGTGTGCACAAAACAACACAGGCTTCTGTACATCGTGGTCCATATATCAATGTGAGTTATTTGAATAAAAGCTGCTTGAGAGTCTTTTTATTGTCAACAAATGTTAAACCAACGTTTAAATCTGTCTGTAAATGCTTTCTGAATTCTCTGCACTGTCATTGGCTCTCAGTCCATTCCTACTGAAGGCAAATCTTCAGTATCTGTCTCTATTATATGCTTTCATTTTCAAAAAAATAACTATTTATTACAACAACTAGATGCTAGTTTTTAGCAGTTGTGACTTCTACAGTAGTATTGGACAACAACTGAGTATTATGGCAAAGAGGGAATGAGATATATCAGGCTTTACCTAAAATTTTCACTAGAAACGTCCGACTAGTTTCAGTTTGAGAACAACGTCTGTTGAATCCAATGTGTACGCTGAAACTGCAGTATATATGGTGGATGTATTTCTATGGATGGATCCAAGTGAAAATGTTTGGTTTTGCACACATCAGGGCTCATCTTGAGGAGGACTCTTCTTCTTGACGTACTGCCGCAGGTACTGGATCGCCGACAAGGCGCTCACGTTTGCTAGAAGAGCTGAACAGGAGAAAGGTTATCTGAATTAGACTTCAACTTCAAGTCATGTGTGACACTTAAAAAGAGGCAGATCCTTGTTTGGCCGTCTCTGGCGACACCTCTGGTGATTAGCGGTAAGTGCAGGTGTGTTTTTGCATCTCACTTCCAGGTGATCCCAACATCTCACTAAGTAACTTAAGGCGGTATTCTCTCTGATGACCAGCAGGGGGCGACTCCTCTGGTACAAAAATGGAAGTCTGACTCTATAGAAGTTTAGGAGAAAATCGCCCAACTTCCTGATTTACTGCATCAGTAAACATTCTTCTAATGAATCTGTGGTCTCAGTTACTAGTGTCAAATATCCTTAAATGCAGAACCGTGTTGTGAAAGTAAAATCAACCACGAGCTCTTAGATTATCATTTATTATCTGTTTTTCATTTTATGTAAACGTGTCTTTGTTGTTCTGAAACTCCTCAGTGTCGGTGGAGTGACTTTGCTGAAGCCTAATTATAGGCGTGTTACCTAGGGGTCAAAAAGGTCGAGGTTTGAGGTCAGCTACAGTAGATATGTTTATCCCTAAAAGGGTTTTGTTTTTGGAGAGATGACCTCAGGTTTCTTACATGGTATGGACACTGTAAACTCATGACCTATATACGACGAGCCAATAGGAGAAGAGTTTGTGTTTCCTGTGAAGGCAGTTGCATTGTCCTGCTCCCATGTCATCAGTTTTTAATACAAGGACTTTCCTGTAATTTAATCAACAACCTCATTTTGCAATTGGTAGTGACTGAACACATTTATTTACATGAAAATCTTCAAGACTTCAAGCTCCTGAAAACCTTTGATTCTTGTGTTTTCATCAACAAATCACATCCAAATATGAAGCAGTAAAAATGGAAGGACAGCAGCTGTGGGCCTGACTCCCACACAGTCACGATAAAGTGATAAAATAGCATCGAAGCAAGAGGGTAACAATAGCTTGCTGTTGTTATTTTTATTATAAGCACACCCACCCTCATTAGATTTCAGATCCAGTGTTACATCCAACAGATGTCACCCTGCTTCAATCAAAGTGATAGCAAGGACAAAACACACTTTGTTCGAAATGTTCCTGCACCACTGGTCACAGTCAGGAAAAAAGATGCTTCTAGGACCTTTAATGTTTTATTTTAGAACTGAGATGTCTGCTGAATAATGATATATAAATGCATTACCTGCTTTCCAGGCATCAGCAGCCTCTGGATCAGAGGATTTCAGCACCCAGGAGGCAAAAGCAATGCAGACTAAACACATGTCCGACTGCTTCAGGGTGGAGAAGATGCCCACAGGTTCTGTAAGAGACAAGCACAATGCCAAATGAACACTTGTTTACTTTTGTCTTCTGGTGGAACGAGACCAAACACGTACTTGTTGTCTGTATCGCGTCTAAAATCCTCTGCTGCTCTTCCAGCAATCTGAAGAGCTGAGAGGACGTCGGGCAGATTCTTCCCTCGCTGAGCACCGTCACCCCTGCATCCGAGATCTTCTCCGCCTCGACCGGGAACATCCAGGCCCCGGACCTCCTGCACCAGATGCTGCCTTTGTCGTGGAAGCGGATCTTCCTTATGGACATCAAGCTTTTCCAACTGGATCCGGGCTGGATGAAAGAGTGAGACACGACCCTGATCGGTGAGATGTCGTCCGCTCCCTCGCAGTTTGAGCTCAAGAAAACAAAGTCGGGTTTTGGGAATGTGAGCTCTCGGACGGTGGGGTGAGAACAAGAGAAGATGGGGATGGGTTTCTCCTCGCTGCACTGCAGGGAAGAGGAGGAGATGTCATCTGTGCAGGTACAAAGAGTGTAGTCAAAGACAGGAGCCACGGAGATGTCCTCTGGATCGTAGACGGTGACACAGCGGGACTCGACGCTTGTTTTATCCTCCGTGAAAAAGTATTCAAAGGCCTCTGGGGTGGATGTTCGGTAATCTGTATCCAGTAAGTTTGTGCTGGTCAGTAAAGACGCAGGAATAAGTGCTTCCAGGCTTTTGCTCACTTTCAAAACAGTGTTGTCCTCCAGAGACCTGCTGAGAAACAGACTGCTCTCATCATCACTCAAAGCGTTGAGCGCTTGGACGTTGTGCATGCTTTTGCTTTTCGTCATCCGTCTCGGCAGCTCAAGTTTGTTCAAAGCGCTGGACTCCGGATCGTCTAAACCTTGTCCTCCCAAGTCCTCTAAAGGCACAGGAGTTTCCCTCCCTTCAGAGCCTGTGGACTCCTCGTCATGTGAAAGGAAAGGAGAGTCACTCGTCCTGCGTTGCTTTTTGCTATGAGGATCAGGGCTGGGGTTCCTGCTGGTGCCGAGGAACTGCCAGTACTCTTCTTCAAAATCTGAAGTGGAAAACTCACAGCTGGAGCGATCCGGCTTGGATTCATCAGAATGCGTGAAGTAGTCCGAGTCCGCAGTGTCGGATGTGTCCATCAGAGTGCTATCAGATGAACTGTACTCCGCTGTGTCGACCAGCGAGCCGGGATTTGTCGGAGAGTCGTCTCCATTTGGGGTCACCGTGTCTTGTGTTTCTCTGGGTGGTGAACTTCTGCCCATCCTGAGCTGCAAGATGTCGTTTATCGTCAGCTTTTCCATTTCATCCCAAAAGCCAGAAATGGCGTAGACGGGCCGAGTGTGGCCCGTGGCTTTAGCGTATGTTTCAGGGCTTTCGACCTCAGAGCAAAGCGTCACAGTTAAATCAGGAACAGGAAGCGGACCGAGCTGGTCGCCCTGAGAGCAAGCAGATGCTGAACGAGTCGTTTTGTGATTCTGGGGTTCAGGTGTGTCTGCAGGCCTGCAGAGCACCACGCTGTGTGTGTCATCGTCACACGTGGAGATGTCATCTGGCACTACGGCAGCTCTCTGGCCGGCAGATGGAAATGTGAGGGAACTCTCGGCGCTGGTGCTTTCATAACTTTCACAGTCGGTAGCTGCTGCGTTGCTGGAGGGAGTACCATCGTCCTGTGTTCGGTCGGCATCAGTGCCCTCAGTCAGACTGAACAGATGGCTGTCAGATGTGGGAGATAATGAGCGGTGCAACTGTTGGTTTTCCATGAGATGCTCTCGGAGAGGATGCTGAGGTTCCTCCACTGATTCAGCAGCTGACAAATAACTTTCAGAATCATAACTGTGAGTGGAGAGGAAGTCGGCGCTGTCCTCCAGCTCGTCTGACTCCACACTCTCCAACTGTGTCAGTGTGTTTCGTGATGTGGATGTTGGGCCGCCTGCTTTGTATTTGCTTCTGTCCATCTGTGGCTCTGGGATTTCTTCTTTGGGCAGCTTTTCTGACAAGTTCTCTTCTTCACAAGACATTACGAACATTAGTGATGAATCTAAAACACTCTCTGCGTTTGTTTCAATCATTTGATTCCCTGAATTTGACTGTGTATCCCAACCTCCCTCAGGTTCATTTCTATCTTCATTTATCTCGAACCCGTTTTCCAGTGAGGTCTCCTCACTCCTGCACATCCCACTTCCCTCACAGGGTTTTTTTTGCCTTCGTTTTTTTTTCACAGACGTGGCACGTGCTCGCTGTCGTGCAGGACTGTCGTTCACTGTCACAAACCAGCGCTCCTTCTCTGCCTTTAAAGCAACACTGCAGACACTCACACCTGTCTGTGTGGTGTGCAGCTCATTCAGTCCTGTCTGGTGTAAAGAAAGCGGGTCAGGCTCCTCTGTGGGTTTGATGTTACTCTCTGCCTGCACATCTTTTGTCAGTTCTTCAGATTCTCCTGAACTCTCCACGTTTGGCAGCTTGTTTGAAACGCCGTCACTCGTCTCCTCTGTGACGTCCTCTGCAGCTTTCACCACTTCTGTGTCGGTGGGATTCCCTCCAGGACGATCGATACAGATTTCAGACTCTTCAGCTGTTACTGCAGCATCGTCCACTCGCTCTCTCGTAGCACTTGTGCAGCTCTGCTCTCCGCTGCTGCGTCCTCCTGCAGCGTTTGTTTCAGCTGCATCGGGGCTCTGCTGAACGTTTCCTGACTCCTCTGAATCGCTGAGGCTCCAGTCATCGGGGCAGGCGAGCAGAGGCTGCAGCAGACAGCACTCCTCGCTGTCCTCGTAGAAAATGGTCCAGTCATACTCTGCGATATGAATGCTGTGATCTAAATCATCCATTGTGACCCCTAACATGCTCTTCAATCTGCAAAAAGACAACAATACCTACATTTAGATTTAGATGTGTGCCATAAACAAACAAGCAGTTCGTCCTCGGTGCATCATGTTCGTCACATCAACACATCTGAGCTAAATATAGAGCTCGTGCATTTGTGTGGAGCTTAACTGTTGTGCAGAAACCTTTGGTTTGAGAGTTTGACCTCAGAGCAGGTAAACAACACCAGAGCACCTCGGTCACCGCTTCCATAACAGACCCCAAAATACTTTCTGCTCTTAGAAAACAGGTCATAAGATCTGATATGAAAGAATCAGCTGTCCAGCGTCGGACACATTGGTTCAACTAACAAACTTGATGGGGTCCCTGTTTTGTTATCATAGCGAAGTTGCACAAATTGCACAGCTAGAATATGACGTACACATTCAAATTATTCCTTAACTTGGTTTGTTTTGTTTTTTAAAAAAAACTTTTTTCTGCAGGATTGCTGTAGATTTGGGGTAAAACGTCATTAGGATCACTTTCTCATCTTCAGCATAACAGACGTTCCACTTAAACTCTCCTCTGCCGTTTGTCAAAGTCATCAAAGGTCTTGTCTGTCAACATTATTCCCAAAACCCGACCGTGAAGCCCACAGCCGCAGCCCATCGTCCATAATGCAACACAAACAGCAGCCTACCTGTTGCAGACGGACAAACCATCCAGTTTGAAGGTGTCAGTGCTTTTTCCTGCAGGGACGTTTCAGCTATGATGTCCATCTGTCCTTGCATGTGTCAGACTGGGCCCTTTGCGCTCTGCTGTTATAAATAGAGCAGTATGTCCTGTCACATGTAGCTGCTGCTGGTGCAGACGTCCTTCCCTCCATGACCAGAGGTATGACATTTCAGTCGCCCAAAGTATGAGCCCCGATCATAACGTAGTAAAAACAAGAGTTCCAAACATAGTGAAACATTTTGATGCCATTGTGAATGTTTTAGACATTTACTTACTAGAAATGTCAGCGTTGTTTTTGTTTAAAAGGAACTTTAAGGTTGACTTTATTTATAACCTCGAAATCTAAGTTTAAGCTGGAATTTCTCACAAAATATTTAAAGTCCCATGCACGTGACATGTACTCAGAAAGCTTTAATCAGGATGTGGTAACATTTCTTGATTATGTTGTTTGAACTACTGTGCTTTTTTTCCTTTTTTGAATGAAATTCAAACCATCTGTTGTGTGAAAGCTCATCTCTGTTCAGTGTTCCAACATGCAGGATAACATCAGTATCACACTAGCCTTGAAATGTAATTGGATAATTTGTCAAATGAGACGTCTCTGTAATAAAAAATGAGCAAAAACATGAGAATCAAAGCGTCTCCTCACTCTTATCCTGCAGTAAAAATACACAAGAACTGTAAACCCACATTTGGTAACAATATCAAAAACTGGAATTTAGATTAAAATAATTTAATCTGCTTTTATGTTATTTGGATGTTTTTAGCCACTTTATGACGGAATAATAAAAAGGTAATCACTGTTATTTTGTCTAATTGCACTTTAAGGCTGACTTTGTTTTGGGCTGCATTGATAGAGATGCAATTTCAATCCTTAAACTCTAACTTTAGGTCATAATTTCTTACAAATGATCTACTTTTCATCAACATTTTTGCTGTTATTTTAAAGTCTTATATATCTGACGTCCACTCAGCATCTGGTCTAAAACAGAAAGCTTCTTCTATCAGTGTGTGGAACTACTTTACTTGTTTTTACCAAAGCTCTGCTCCATTCAGTGTTTCAATAAGCAGGATAACATCCATATAATGCCATCCTTGAAATCTGGATAAACTTTTTTTTTTCAAATTCAAAATCTTAAATGAGCAAAACTATGAAAATCGGAGCTTTAAAATGGTTCCATCACTCTTATCCTGCAAGAAAAAACAGCTGCGAAATCCAAACTTTGTAAAAAAGAAAAAAAAAAAAGAAGTCAGAAACAGGAATTTAAATAAAAATAATGTTATATAATATGTTATTTTGATGTTTTTTGGCAGTTTTATTATAGAATATAGTTCAGTGGTGTTTTCTTAAAATGTGAGCTGAATTTGGAATCTCCTGCAAAATATCTGTGTCTCACCACAAGTAATCCACTCACTGCTATCCTGCAACACAAACAGCAAACAATAGCTTTAATAATCATGTAAACTTGAATTTAAATGAACTGATTTTATATGCTTTTATGTTATTTGCATGTTTGTAGTAGCTTTATGGTGAAATATTCTTTATCCTGTATGCATTCCCTGTGTTTTACGGTCATTTTTGTCTATTTAGAGATTAATAACCAGCTTCTCTTAATGTAAAGGGACCACAGAAAGTAGAAGTTAAATTATGATGTGATGGACATACGTCACTAGTTGTGGCCTAAACTACGTTGTGATGACACATTTTAAAGTTACGACGACACACAGGATTATGGAAAGGTGCTTTATTTCTGCAAACGATACGTACGGCTTCTCAACTTTCTTCATGGCACTGAAACTGGGATATGTACATCATTACAAAAACAATACGTCATTCGTATAAAACAATATGTACATGTAGTCAGCTTATGGTTGTCTGTACAACAGTAAACACACGAAGCAGGGAGAGGGGGGATAGTCATGGAATGATTGCTGCCTTTTATCTGGGTCGCTTCAGATTGCTCCACATACGCTGAAGATGTAAAATGACTTTTTGTTCTTATCAAGATGTGGAATAAAATACCGTGGAGCAAATATAGCTTGGATAGGATTGTAGATACAGTAAAGGCCACTGGATATAAGTCAAATACCCAATTATTCATCACAGATATGTCATGATTAAAAGCTTCCTGGCTGCATTTAAAGCTCATAATGGCACAGTAAGTAATCACAGTAATGGCGTACGGCAAAAGCCATTTTCTTCAGACATTTGGCAAAAGGTAATAGTAGTCAAGTAAAGTTCATAATGCAACTCCACTGTTGCCATCTACACGACAACAACAACAACAACAACAACAAAAAACCCTCACTCACACTCGATGGCAACGAGATATTTGGAGCGTTTCTTTTGAAAAACTGAGGTCCAACGTGAGCCGGAGACCTCGGATAAATAAAGTGCACAAGGTAATTTGGAGAGGAAAAAGGATTTAAACATAATCGGCCTCAGCAGGATCACAGGATTTAAAAAAAAAAAAAGATTGTGTTGAGAATGTCTCATGGGTGTGGATGCAATAAATGCGGCTGCGATACACGGTTTGTTGAAATACATTCACCTTGGTTGGTCACACAAATAATACAACAACAAAAAACACAAATAAACAATCATCATCCAGTGCCTCTTCCTACAGCGTCCACCAGAGGAACACACACATCATTTATTCTTTTGGCCCGAATCTATGCAGTAAAAAGTCAAATAAATAGCACACACGTAAAACATCGTCACCAGCAGATCAAACGTCCGTCGAGTGTCACTGGGCTGTCGCTTTGTCCACACGGCCGCTGGTTGGTTTTGGAATAATTTGATATTTTGGGAAACACACTTGCAGAGAATTAGAAGAAAAACAATCAATACGAGTTACTTTAGCTCAGCACAGGCTAGAAACAGTCAGCCGGGGTCAGTTCAGAGGTTACAAGATCTGCTTAAGAGGCTGGTTTTTACCTCTGGACGGACGCGGGCCAGCTGTTCCCTCATTTCCTGTCTTTGCCCGGCGCTAAGCTACGCCACTTCTCATACTGACTGTCTAATTCTGCCAAACTGTTCCAAGTGCAGGATACTCAGATGCTTCTTTTGAAAGAAAAAACTGAGACAATTCAGAGGACTGACAGATTCGGACACTTGTTCCAACATCTTTTTAAACAGAGAAAACGTAGCAGCTCCAGTGACACGAACGCAGCAGAAGCAGCAGCAACAGTTACATTTGGCCACCCTCATCAGAGTCAGCTGGTCTTTCTTTCTTCACATGATTAGAAACTCTCACACCGTTCCTGAGCTCTCTCTCCTACCTGCACCAGACCTCCCACCCCTCCTCCTACACGTTGTAGTCTTGAGTCGTGGATGTTGTGGTTATGGTGGCACTGTTGAGCGTCGACGCTGCTGCAGAGGGCCGCTCCCTCCTCACATATCTTGGCTTCCTCACTTCAAAACAAAGACAGAAATCATAGACTCATGTGTGGGAGCAACAAGAGGAGACTTGCACTGAAATGATCAGGAGCACATTTAAGGAAATCTTTGGTGCTTTTTTTTGGTAACGTGACAGTTTGGGCTTTTCCTGCATTGCTGCAATACTCCTCGCCAACAATGACAGATATTGCAGACGCTACCAGAGCTTCCCGTAATACTATAACCGGTTCAGCGAGGTCGGACAGTTTCCTAACAGGTTTTCTGACAGAGCAACACAGTGAAGCCGTCTTACCTGACGACGAGGGGATCATGACGGCCTGGAAGGGAAAACGACAAAGTTTAAAGAATCCCTTTGAGACACGAATCGACAGCAGAACGTTGCTGACAACAAACAGATTTACAGCCTCTGCACAAGACAAACAATAAAACAGACTTACCGTTTCACTTGGTTGGAATATGAAGGCTGTGAAAACACACAAATCGATGTTAAGTTTGATACAAGAATACACTAAAGTAAAGCTTCACTATGACGCCTCTGGTGGCCAGAACCGTGCGCTGCTCACCCTTGTTGCGCCGGTAGAAGATGCTCGGGAGCCGGTTGGAGCGTTTGAGGTAGAAAAAGGAGGCGACAGAGAGGATCAGGAACAGGCTGATCAACAGCGTTCCCAGGAGAAGAGAGGCCGCCACACCTGGACCCCCTGCACCAAGCACAAAATGATGGAGGAGACATGTGGTGAACATCCTCCTGAAAGCTACAGTCATATAAAAGCTGTTAACACCCACAGACAGAGACTCTCCAGTGACCCACATCTCAAGGCCACATGATGTGAGACTACGCTGCTCGGGATGATGATGTTACCTACAAGTAAGAAAACAGTCAGGACCGGTTTGTTGAGCGTTGCTAATGTTAACAGCAGCGTTCTTTCCCTGCTCGTCCACATACCTGCGCTGGTGTGGTTTCATATTCGTCCGTCACTTTACTCTCATTGAAACAACCTTAATTTAATTTTACAGATCAAAACAGTGTCAAACTGCTGCTTTTTTTGGCAGCGCTGGCAGAGATGTGTCGGGCACCCAGCGAGCGGCGTGTGAGGGTGTGTCAAGGTCGATGGCGTCGCACAATAACAGCACTGATTCTTGAGATAAGAGGCAGCAATGGCTTAATACTACAGGTTTTGACTTGATATTCATGTATTTGTAGTAAATGGGTCTCCCGTACAGGAACGGGGCTTTATTCTGAACATTTATGCACTTCATTTATTTATGTCAGACACACTAAAAAGCATTTTAATTTTATTAATCCAACAAGAATCTACACTTCTCAGGTATGTATTGCTGGAATAAAAACCTTCCTTATGCTGTCTGAATTGTACTGACATGTACTTTTTTCCTCCCATGTCTTAGTATTCATGTGTGTGAATAAAAGTCAGTGAAGCTCCAGGAGTCAGATTCCTATCAGGCTAGAAATAGCTGAAGAAAACCACAAAGTTCTCTGCCGTGACAGGGAACGGCTAACTGAACAGGGAGAGGCCCAGAAATGCAAAGTGTGCTCAGTGTCCAGGGATGATGATGATGAAGGTCCACCACCGCTGTCCTAAAGGGTCCCACTTCTATTCTGTTTTTTTATGCTTCACACACATTCATACACAAGGTGCTGCCTGCCATTGGGAGCAACTTCAGGTTCAGTGTCTTGCCCCATTGACTGTGGAGGGGCGAGGGATCGAACCATCAACCTTACAATCAGAGGACAACCCGATCCACCACCTGAGCCACAGCCGCCCTTCTCTTGCTTTCTCACATCTTGTTCTTAAAGATATGTTGAAAACTAGTATACTAATATCCACTAATGCAGTGCCTGCATTGTTGGATTTGTAGTAGTTGACACAAAAGAAATACAGCAGCTGTGTTTAATCTGGTTATTTTTATAGATTTATATCATGAGTGTTTTGTTAAGATGGCGATGGCAGGTAGTTTCATGGTGGTGTGTGCTGGTTTATTACCTTAAAGTAAAGAAACACATAATAGAGCAGTTAAGAACATCTCTGCAATAAGACTAAAACACCTGCAATATGGGATATTATTTATCATGTGACTATAATACATCCTCAGAGTATTTCTCTACCAAATTACTGCTCTGCAGTCGTGCTCAAATGTATTCATCCCATTAAAGAAGGAAAAAAAACAGCTTCAGTCACTGAAATAAGTTGAAATTGACAAAAGTAATAATAAATAAAAATTTAATGAAAATCATGACGTTGCTTTTGAATTGTGGTTCAATAGAAATATTTTAAAAAAAAAAGCATGATGGGACCCGTGAACTAATATTCTGTTGAACAACCCTTTGAGCCAATCACTGCCATCAGGTGTTTCCTGTAACTCTCAGTCAGACTTGTGCACCTGTTGACAGGTGTTTGGATTTCACTGCTCATCAGCAAAGTGCTCGAATTTAGCAGTTTTGTTTTTTTTTAATTATTTATTTCAACCACAATTCAAAAGCAATGTCTTATTTCACCAAATTATAATTTAGCAATTTTTTATTTATTATTACTTTTTTCAGTTTATAGTTATTTGAGTGACTTTTGTGAAATTTGCCTTTTCTTTAATGGAAGGGTCTGAATACATTTAAGGACGACTGCACATATTTGTTGCATTTATTATATATAATATGCACAATACATCCACCAGAAAAATATTACAGCACTAATCCCCTGTATGTTACTGTATCTGTATATTGTATACTGTAATATGGTATTATTATCATTGTTATTATTGTTGCTGTTGTTGTTGCTGATTTTGAATTTGAATGCTGATTTTCATTTTGAATTTTGAAGGCTGCTGTTGTTGCTGATTTTATGTTGGTGTTGTGTTGTTTTTTCCTGGTGTAGCAATTTCCCTGAGGTCTTGTACCGAAGGGATCAATAAAGTTTTATTCTAATTCTAATTCTAATAATTTCCCAGTAAAATGTATTTAACATCTATGTTTTGTGTGTAAGTTTTAGCATCGGTTCACTAAAATATTTGAAACTTTAAGGTTTGGCAATGACAAATTAACAACATGTTTTTGTTCTTATTACGGACTGTCAGGTTCTTTCAAAGCTGAAGAGGAGTGATTTTTAAAACACACTAACATTAGGATGGAGGTTGTGTGTTCCAGTGCAAAACAGAAAGCAGTTTCAATGTTTATTCAAAGCACACGCCCGTCTATAAAACATTAATATTTGTTTAACTGACTCATACTTCTGGTGCCGACTACTGAGAGACATATAAAACCACAGTTAAGATCAAGAAATACACACCACACAGAATGAAATGAGTCCATAATGGCTGTAAAACACTCACCGATTTTAGGAATGACAGTCGTGACTGTTGTGTGATTTTTACGCTCCACTGTGTAATCTAGAAAGCACAGAAAAAGAGGTCAATTACCAATTCAGCACTTTTGTTTGTTAAAAAATCAAACCTCTACAGAGCACACAGTCCTTACTGTAGGTACAGACGGTTATGTTCTCCAGATCCACAGCTGCCGAGTCACAGAATATGCACACAGTGTTGCTGTTTTCAAGGACACGCAGGAAGCAGCCTGTCAGAGAAAAATGAGTTTTTCATTCTTTGATATCGCTGCATCAACAAAACGTTCAGATAATCCTGCAACAAAGTGATGCTCTTTTACATTTAAATGGCCACAAAAGCTAGTTTTTTGGCACCAAGGATGAAGTTGCAATGAACACCGGCGCAGTTATTTTTTTAAACTTTTACAAAAGGCTGCAGTTTTTTTCACTCTAAAACTTTGACATGAACAAACTTTCATTTAACAAACAAAAGGTCACAGGACGTAAACCACGGACGTGCACACATGGCGCTTGCACCGAGGATCATTATCCTTTCTACATCTGAGTTAAGTCTCTTGATGAGTCAGTGTTTACAGATTGCAGCGGTTGGTGTTTGCACGCCAATGATGTATTTCCGTTCGCGTATTTAACTTACTGCTCTTGACATTCACCTGTACAGAATAAAGGAACGACTGTACTTCCACTGTGTTTGTTTGCTGCTGCATTGCACTTCCTGTCAGACAGACTGCAAGCTATGCCCGACACCAGCATCACAGAAGACAAATACAACACCTATCCAAGTGTCACTGACGCTTGTGTAGGTGTTTGAGTTGATGCTGGTTCTGCATGCAGCATTTCGACTGCCAGTACGAGAAAGAGCACTACTTGATCCAAAGGCGACTCAGCTTGATTAATTAATTAGTCTGAGCCCATGCGGGAAAATAATGTGAACAGTTCAACGCTGGAGCAAACAGTTCCAAACACTACATACGCATGGAGAAGCATTACCGTAGATTCTGGACTATAAGCTGCTACTCTTTTCACACATTTTGAACTCTGCGGCTTAAACAACGATGCGGCTAATTTGTGGATTTTTACGAATTTGCCTCGAGACCAAAGTGACATCGAGAGCGAAAGAGAGACGGAGGAAGTGTGTGGCGAAGTAATTCTGAGGCTGTTCAACTCTGATACTTTAGTGGTTTTAGTGCGCAGGAGGAAGATGAAGACAGCGATCAATGACTTTTCCTGGTAGGCTGCTGTATTTTTTATTTTTTTTTACCAGCCGTGTTACAGGCGCAGTTCGGAAAAAAGCATTTGTGTATGTTAGACAAGTGCGGCCTATATATGTACAAAGCGTGTTTTCTTTTGAAAGCTTGTGGGTGCGTCTTATATTCAGGTGCGCTCAGTAGTCTGGAATTTACGGTAATTCCATATTACATTGAGTTGCGTGGATCTAACTCAACGTGTCTCTGCAATTCAGTCGAATCTCTCAGATGCTAAACAGTCAGAGGCTCCGCTCTGCACTCAGAACACTATTTCCGTCTGACTTATCTCATATTGAAGCTAATAATGAAGTTACGAGGTCAAAACTCTCAGTGGGATTCTGCACAACGCCGACAGCCTCAGTCAAAGCTGTGTGTCGGTGGTAAGCTGTTGAAAACGTTACCTGGTTCACAGTGAGTGTCATTGGAGCAGGAACTGTTGGCTCTCTGTTTCTCGCCGCAACACTCGAGGGAGTTCTGATGTAGGGCCTGTAAACAGCACAGGTAGCGAATCAGCGCAACCAGAACAGAGCACACACCGGCCACACTTTGACCCGGTAAAATCCTCGTCGTACCTTCGTTACGGGTGTCTCAGGTCTGATGAGAATCACAGTAGCAGCCAAGACCAGAAGGAATGACAGAGCCATGTTCAAACCTTTGGAGATCAAACACACATGAATTAGGTACGCTTCAGTGACTTGGACTGGGCACACAGCAGGACACGTTTAATCTGACAGGAAGGAAGAACGATGGAGCAAAACACCAGATAATTAGAACAGCTAATTATCCTGACTGGTTAGATGTTTAGGTGTTGTACATACTTGAAAATCAAGATTACTGGAGCAGTTTCTATACATCTCAGGACATTAATTCGTGCTTCAAAGGTAATTTTACATCATCATTTGAATTGGGTCTTGTAGAAACAAAATTTTCTCAAAGTATGGGATGGAAAAAGCACTATTCTGGTATCTTTCAGTGACATTAAACTTTAAATTATACACAAATGATCTGCTCATAACTTTCCTGTGTCTTGCAAAACTACGTGACTCGTGAATCTTTGCCTTCATTTAAAGCCTACATCCCAAAAACACCTCATTTCAATGTCGAACCTGATTTGAAATGAGTTCAAATTGCTTCACGTCTCAATAATTGCATAATTACTGGAGAGACAATGTTGAAATACAGGTACCAAAGTAGAAACTCAACACGACAAAACTAAATACAGCTGTGATTACTCACACAGAAGGCTGAAAACCTGTGCAGCAACATTCGGCAGACTTGTGACTTCCTATTAGCCTAAGTGCATGAACATCTCTCTCAGTTCTCTGCAAATCTGCATCGTGGCTCCACGTGGAAAACAGTTCTGAGAGGGTTTGAAAAATGTGATTGTGAGTCTTCACAGGGATGGAAAAGGATGCAAAAAGATCTGTGACCCACTAAAGATCAGCTGCAGCAGCAATCAGCAGGTACAGAATGAGTCATAGCACCGCTGATCAGAGCCCTGATGACCTGAAAAGATGCCAGAGACGATGCTTTCATAACCCACCTCTGACAAAACAAATGTGCTTCAGACTTGGCACGGTGATCAAGTACAGAAAGTGAAGCTTCTGTGACAGCTCACACAGTGACCTCTATAGATAGCCTCCAAGAACAATCCCATGCTGGCTCTTAAACTGCAAGATTAAACTTTGCAAAAAGGGATGAAAGAAAAAGAAAAAAAAAGCCAGATGAATGTTGGGACACATTCTTGGGTCAGAAGATGAATGAGCTCAGATGGGGTTCAGTGTGAAGCACAGAGGTGGGAGTGTGCTGATGTGAGGTGTTGGGGAGACGACTTCTAAAGATGCTACCATGATTCCTGTTTACCAAAACACTGGCTGACAGGTGACGAGTCCCAGTCGGCTGCGGGGAGCTTGGCAGAAAGGAACATTCCTGCATGATAACAATCCAAAGCACACAAGAGCCTCTAAAGGAGGAAAACATGAAGCCTATGACCTGGCCAAGTATGCCGCCAGACTCGAACCCAACAGAACAGCTTTGGAGAGAAGTGCAGCCTGTTGAAACGACAGAACACCTCTTCAGTAAAGTGTTCATGCTGAAGAGTGTGTCATTAAAAATAAAGTTAGAAGATGCTGCAAAAGTAAAAGATTTAAATCTGAGTAGTGTGGGGACTATTTGATTTAAAAAAGTGAATCTAAACTGTTTGACATTAGAGCAAATACCTTACTGATCCAGTTCATGAATAATGCCGTCACTGTAAGGTGGTACAATCCTGAATCATCTGCAGTTTAACCGATATTGGTACAGGCTATAACTTGGAATTACAATACAATTGGTTAGGTTTAAAATGTTTTGTTTTCAAACTGTACAAACCTGCAGTTTGAGTATTCACATTAGGCAGTCTTACTAAAAATATTGGAGAGAAACAGGCCACTTTTTAACAAACTTTTGCCCGTTACTAAGCTTTATTTTTAGTGCAAACACATAATTTGAGGAGCAACACAGCAACCGAGTGAGAGAACTACGGGCTGCGGCTAACGCCAGTGTTGCTGCGCTAGCTAGCACCTGTCACTGAGATGAAGTTGACCGAGCTAGCACCCTCGGCTAAAGCACCGATGTCAGCGTTAGGATGTAAACCCGCCTCACGTTATCGGAAACCTATCGGCAACAGAATCTGCACGAAACAAAAGTTCACTCACCAGCCGAACACTAGGCTTCGGCCTGACCAAACTCCGAGCTGCGGGGTAGCGACGCCTCGTCCGCCGCAGAGCTGTTAGCGCGCAGTGGCTCGGATCCGTCGGCAGATCTGTCATCAACACACCTCTGCAGCTCCGCCGCAGACAGGTGAAGCGACAGACAGCAGCGGCGGCTCTGGGCTCACAGGTACCTGCTCCCGGTTAGCAAGCACTCATCCGAGCAACGCCTTTCACAATAAAGCCAAGGGGACGCTTTTCACAATAAAAGTCGACTGTGT